TTTTCCCATGAGCACAATGATTTTAATTTATTTATTTATTTTAGAGCGATGACATTTTTCTTAGTAAGATTGCATTGCACTCAAGGGGTTAAGTTACTGTACTCAAGGGATTAAGTCACTATACTCAAGGGTTTAAGTCACTGTACTCAAGGGTTTAAGTCACTGTACTCAAGGGGCTAAGTTACTGTACTCAAGGGGCTAAGCTCAAGAGGTTAAGTCACTGTACTTAAGGGGTTAAATCACTGTACTCAGGGGGTTAAATCACCATACTCAAGGGGTTAATCACAGTACCCAAGGGGTTAAATCACCGTACTCAATGGGTTAAATCACCACACTCATAAGAACATAAGAACATAAGAATGGAGGAAACTGCAGCGGGCCTATTGGCCCATACTGGGCAGTCCCGTTTACACCCAACCCCTATTGCTCATATGAGCATCCAACCTATGTTTGAAGCAATTCAGCGTATTCGAGTTAATGATGATATTTGGTAACTTGTTCCATTCATCCACTACTCTGTTTCCAAACCAGTGATTTACCTATTTCACCCCTAAATCTAAATTTGTTAAGTCACTGTACTCAAAGGTTTAAGTCATTGTTTTTAAGGGGATAAATCACCGTATTCAAGGGGTTAAATCACCATACTCAAGGGGTTAAATCACAGTACTTAAGGGGATAAATCACAGTACCCAAGGGGTTAAATCACCGTACTTAGTGGGTTAAATCACCGTACTCAAGGGTGTTAAATCACAGTACTCAAGGGGTTAAATCACCGTACTCAATAGGCTAAATCACCATATTCCAGGGGTTAAATCACCGTAGTCAGGAGGATTAACCTCATGACGGGTGTAGAGTTAAGGGAAGTAAGTTAAGAGCAGTAGACGGTGGTGGTAAGGGGAGGGGAGATGAGAGGTGAGGGGTAGTGAGGGGAAATGAGAGGTGGGGGGAAGTGGTGAGGGGTAGTGAGAGGTGAGGGGCAGTGAGAGATGTGGTAGACAGTGATGAGAGGTGAGGGGAGGTAATGAGAGGTGAGGGGAGGTGATGAGAGGTGAGGGGAGAGGTGAGAAGAGGTGAGAGGAGGTATGGCTGAGATCTCCCTTTACTCCTCAACTTGAATATTACAAAGCAACTCGTCGGAAAATATATAGAAGTGAAAAGCTCACGTAGACGGAATATATTGTGAAGAAGACGTTGATGACATACTGAGGCTGCCGTACACGTGAACACCTATGTACAGTACACACTCTCCTGGCACAACCACGTTCACACCATTGGGTATAATTTGTTTATGTACAGTCGCCTACATTTATACCTGGTACAGTGGCTGGTGTGATTTGGTGAGATGTGGCAACTCTGTGTTTGTTTACATCGTATTAGAACTCTCATAATGGCCCTAAGGAACCTCACAATAGTAGCCACATCTCATAAAACGTGCCAGCCACTGTATTAGGTATAAATGCAGGCGACTGTACATACTCGTTTACACCTTTGGGTATGTTCATGTACACAGTCCCATACCATTATGTTCATGTACACAACCCCATATACTTGGCACGTACATGTACACATTGTCATACTTACACTCAAATACCAAACATCTGGACTATAATCAACCAGTTATATTCTGGGCTCTGATATACCACCCGGATATATCACTCACTATATCCGTATTGGTTCCTTTACACCCCATTCACCTTCATTATAACACACTATACATATATACTCATAATCTGCACCATTATGTTTCATGTCTCACTATAGCAGTATATCCTGGGCGATAATATAGCCTCATATATCCATTTTTGTAGTGATATAGGCCTAAGAAAACTGGCCTTTTTATTCTGTAGATTTGGAGGCATTTTCAGAGTGTGTTTATTTGGTGCAAGATTTACGTTGTTATTATTATTCATTATCATTGTCATCATTATCGTCTTAATCATTTATCACCACCATCATCATTGTCACCATCATCATCATCATCATTGTCACCATCATTGCCATCATCATCATCATCATTATCATCATCATCATCATTGTCACCATCATTGCCATCATCATCATCATCATCTTCATCATTATCATCATCATCATCATCATTGTCACCACCATTATCATCATCATCATTGTCACCATCATTGCCATCATCATCATCATCATCTTCATCATTATCATCATCATCATTGTCACCACCATTATCATCATCATCATTGTCACCATCATTGCCATCATCATCATCATCTTCATCATTATCATCATCATTGTCACCACCATTATCATCATCATCGTTGTCACCATCATCACCATTATCATCATCATCATCAGTCACCACCATCATCACCATTATTATCATTATCATCAACATCATCATCATCATCATTGTCACCATCACTCATACTCTAATCGTGTTATCATCATGTTTCTGTCGTCACTGTTATTGCTGTATCACCACTCACTAATGGCCTTATCAATACTCTTTGTCATCATCATCATCATTATCATCATCATCACCATCATCATCATCATCACCACCATCATCACTACCACCACTACCATCATCATCATTATCATCATCATCATCATCATTATTAAAAATCTCGTTATCACACACAATGAAGCGTGTTCTGGAGGGGTTTATATATATATACATTATACATTATACACTATACACTTCTATACATGCACATACATTTAAAAGCTACTAGAACCACATTATTTATATATATATTAATTTTTTTTGTGTATAGTACGTTTGTATGTCATGTTTTTCTCAAATGAAATAGATTTATACACTTAGGGGGGGGGGGTGTGTCATTCTGAGTGACCTGACCTGACCTGACCTGACCTAGCCCAGCCCAGCTCATTGACCTTTGAGATGGTAAGGAGAGTATCCCATTCCCATGATGTCATTGGAAACCTGTGTGGAGTCGGGTAATGGTTGGGTCAGGCCAGGTCAGGTCAGGTCAAAACAGGTGATAGTTGTAAGGATATCTCTGTCTCTCTCTGTCCTGTACTACCATAATACTTTCCCTCTTTATTTACTATGTATGTATGTTTGTCTACTCTGGATTTTTTTTTATTAACTCCTGTCAGCGCCTGTCTAAATAGTTGAGCTTTGGCGTCTCTGTCTATTCCTTTTCTCGCTTCCGTCTCTGTCTGTCTCTTTCTCTCACACATTCTTTGTCTCTCCCTTTCGTTTTCACTGTTCTCTCACTTTCGTCTCTCCCTGTCTCTCACTTTCGCCACTCTCTCTCTCTCTCTCTCTCTTTGTCTCTCACTTTCTTCTTCTCTCTCTCGTCTCTCTCTTTCGTCTGTCTCCCTTTGTCTCACTTTCCTCTCTCTCTTCCACCCTTCTCTTGTTGTTGTTTTACCTCCACAGTCTGACGTGTTACAGTTCTTTTCCATTGGTTCAGAAGCCCTGTCCTTGGCCCCCGCCATGGGTCAGCCCTCAGCCCTCAGCCCTCACCATGGGTCAGCCCTCAACCCTCACCACCATGAGAATTTCTTTTCAACTTAGGTAATTGTCCACAAATCGCCTCAATGTTCACCTTTTATTGTACATGTGGCTCCCATACGCCTGAAGACCCGTTTGGTACAGTGTGGATTCAACACACTGTATGGTAAGCCTTCAGTACACGAGGAGACAGCGTGTCCAGCACTGCACTCGATCGCCTTCACTTCTCCAACTGCAAATTTAGGTATTCATTTACAACTGGGCGGACTAGGAGTGCCCCGGAATCGAACCAGTGATCCTTAGGACAAGAGGCGAATACTGCATCTAGTGACCCACTCAGCCGCCGCACCCCGACGTTTTTCTGTAACCTGTAATTCCATGGTCTGTACACCCACACACACAGTACTCAGTAATGGCGACTTGTGGTGTAATGGTCAGCATACTCGCCTCGCAAGTGCGAACCTGGGTTTGATCCCCTGGCAGAGTGAAACTATGGGCAAGTTTCTTTACGCCATTTGCCTCTGTCTACCCAGCAGTAATTGGGAACCTGGTTGTTAATCGATTTGCGGATCGTATTCCGGGGTAATGGTTAGCGAGTGCAGTTGGCGAGTAGTCCGGTCTTCTCGAACTATTCCTTGACACTGGGTCATGCAGCTCGTTAACTTAGTTTGTGGTTGTTGTAGAAGCGACAGCTTCTATACCTTAAACAAATTCACACCTAGGTGGCCCTTGGGCCGGCCATCCTCAATAGTGTGTACACACAGTTCTCAACATCAAGACAACCTCTTGTTGTTACCCGCCGTCTTAGCTGCCCACCCTGGTGGTCGTGGGTTGGAAGCTCGTCATGAACACAGGTGATATAAATATTTGGTTCATATTATCAGTTTCTCTTCCTCGTCTTCTTACAAGTCGTCACACACATTATCAACACTCTCCTTCCCTCTGGCACTTGTTTTTCTTAGTGTCATTTAGTGCCTCAGAGTGCCTGTCTATGTCGCTGGCTGGTGCCTGACTCCTTCATTACCGCTGTGCTCTGTGTGTGTGTGTGTGTGTGTGTGAACGAGTGTTTTAGCCTCACAAATACTCCACATCATACCACATCACGCAGCATCTTCCAACATCACACACATCCTCCAACATCACGCCACATCCTTCAACATCACACACATCCTCCAACATCACGCCACATCTTCCAACATCACGCACATCCTCCAACATCACGCCACATCCTCCAACATCACGCCACATCCTCCAACATCACGCCACATCCTCCAACATCACGCCACATCCTCCAACATCACGCCACATCCTCCATCATGGTCGTAAGGTGAGTCAGTCGTCCATCCTTCCCCAGTTCTGGTCCCCCACACACTCCTTCATCCCTTATCCTCGGTGTCTCAGAAAAATGTATACAAACAAACATTCATATTGTCGTGTATATTGCCTCATTAAACCAGCAGTTAACGCGAAAAAAAGTAAGGCAGAGTGTATACATTTTTTTGAGACACTTTTTTTTTTTATCACAATATTCAAATGGCTTCTTTTTTTCTCTCTCGATCTTTTGTTTATCATTAGGGTAAACTTTTATTTCTGGGAATTTTTTTTTTTTTACGTGTGAGATTTTGTAATGTAAACGATCATTTTCTCATTCAGTTTTGTTTATTTATTATTATTATTGTTATTGTTCATTATGTCTTATTTCTCATCTCTCTCTCTCTCTCTTCTTCTTGTTTCTATAATTTGTTTCTCAAGTTCTATCATACGACACCTCTCTCATTGTTAACACGTACACTCGAGTTTTGATACCAGTTTCGAATAGGTGTTGCTTGATTGATTGATTGATTGCTTGATTCTGTGGTGTTTTATGTTTGTTAAGTGTATGTGTGTGTGTGTGTGTGTGTGTCCGTGTGTTTGGGTAGGGGGGAGGGAGGAGGAGGAAGAGGTTATACTGTACACTGACACAGGTTTAATGTTTGTGTCTTGTGTGTGTGATTTTCTTTCGTTCGTTGATATTTTTTTTTCTTATTCTCATAATTATTCGTCTTATCGTTATATTTCCTTCACCTTATTTATTATAGTTGATGATGATTTTGTTGTTTTTATCTTGTGTTTATTTTCGTTTGTATTTCTTCATCTTTTATTACCAGTCCATCATAATATCATCCATTTCTTCCACTTCTCTCCCTACCACCACCTCCTTCTGTGCCTTCTCCTCCTCCTCTTCTTCTTCGTCTCCTTCCTGCATCTCGCCCCACCCCCTCTTCCTCCTCCTTCAAGACATAATATCATAAGCGGTTTCCTCAAGCGTCTGGAGCCAGTTGAAGATCATCATGTTCCTCTCGTACTTGGTCAAAGGTCGACCTCGATCCCTCTCCACGTCCCTCGCTGTGAGACTCAGGTTCTTGTTGTGGGCGGAGGCGACGTGGGCGGTGGGGGGAGCTGTGACCGGGAGCTCTACCTCTTTCTTGATGATCCTGAAGACGTCTTGAGCTGCCTGCTGCCTCGGCGGGACTACCAGGGTCACGCCCCCACCGTCAATCTGTGCCAAGGAGAAGATGGGGAAGGATTAGTCGAGGAGGTCGATTATGAGGTGGAAGGATTAGCCAAGCAGGTCGATTATTCTGTGCCAAGGGGAAGAGGAGGAAGGATTAGTCGAGGAGGTCGATTATGGTGGAATTTCCTGCAAGACAGATTGAATTTTTTACCCGCAGACAACAGCTAGTTTATTGTGCACCCCATATTCAACCTGTGAGTGGTAGTGCAAAAAAAAAAGAGATTACAGAATGGAGGCGACAAAGTGATCAGGATATTGTGGCGTTGAGTTTTATAGAGTATTTCCAGTACATTGTTTGTTTAGTTCTGTACATAGAAGTTTGTTTACCTATTGGATGTAAAATGTGGACACAGTCTAGACTCTATGTGTATGGTTGTGGTTTGTTTGCTTGATGTGGAGGATGTGGAGGATGTGGAGGATGTGGAAGATGTGGAAGATGATGGAGTGGAAGGTGTGGCTTTGATACATTTAGTACAAGAACTGAGTTAACGTGACTAAGGAGGAGGGAGGGGAGGGGGAGAGTGTTTCATGGTAAACAAATTAACGTGTAATACTAGCGGGTGTTGATCAAGGAAGAGTTACAGTGTTGTTAAGACGTGTATGCCACTTAGTTCTGTGCAGTAAAGTGACCGAAGAGGATAATTTATGGTTAATGAAACATGTGGAGGTAATGATGTGAGGGGGTTAACTAATTCCTGTGTAATGGTTTAAAGACCTTAACTGTTGTTGTTGTATAGAGCTACTTAGTGTACCAACCAGGCTGTGGAGATTAGTAGTGGTTGGACTAGGGGCCGGGTAAGTGATTTTTTATGTCCCTATGCCCAGCACTCGCCCAGCGGACAAGCTAATGTTTTGAGAGAAAAATACAGCAACCAAGACGGGAATTTGTCAGGTGGTGCGTGATCCCCTCCTCACCATACATCTTTAACCAGGGAGGCCCGTCAATAAGCCGCGTGTCAGCACTGTACCGGGCACGATTAGTGGCTAAGGTCAGGTGTATAGGTAATTCATCTCTACATTAAGCCTCCACTAGTCAGTCGGTGTCAAGTTGTTACTACTCATAGAAACTGCCAAGCTGAGAGGATGTAGACGTGAGGTGACAGCTGTTATTAGTTATGACATCACATAACAAGGGTTACCGCCGCCGATCAGGGGTCCACAACCATTACACAGTAATCGGCCACATTACACACTAGAAAGCAGTGATCGGCCGCAGACATGACACACTGTATCAAACCCACAAATAATAATATGTATCCATAAGTATTTGAGATCATTTGATTAACTATTTACTGAATCCGACGGCGCGAGACATCCGTATATGATAACAAGGTAAACGGAACAATTGATCATTTATCAGTGAGGTGAAACTTCTCGTGTTTACAAGTTTGGTCTGTTGTCTGAGATAAGCAAAATGTTTCTCAGTATTAGCACTCAGTAATGCTGAAGAAGCGCGTATCTTCCCCACTGTAACAGAAAGCTAAACTACAGTTAGAGCTTGTTATCAAACAGCCACATTACCTTCATGTAAAGCAAAACTCTTCAATAAAACCCTCACGTCAAGTGTGACCTTATCAAACATTGACTTAGAGTACGATGACTGCTGCTGCCGGACACAGTGCTGATAGTACACGGAGCAGCTCAAGGTGAGAGCCTCTGTCTCTGTTGTACACTAAAAGGATAGTAATGATTCGCTAAACCTGATGTAAACAATATTGTCTACACAGTATATGATATAAGTTACTATATTGTACTTGTGTGCCTCTGACCAGTACAATGGAGTTAAGTGTAACCTTGGAATTCATTTAATTGGTTGTCAATTTTCCTAAAAAAAAAAGTGAGGTGGGGGGGGGATATTAACTCCTAGGCTGCTGTTGTGTAAAAGACCTGACTATAGTTAAACCCCAGACATATAAACAACAACAACAACAACATCAGGTTAAAAACACACAATTGAAACAAGAAAACACAAACACACAACAGGTATACAGTACAAGATGGCGGCCAACACTTGACCACGTAAACAACCAGAACTGAATCATAATAAACACTGAAGAAATAATAATACTGAGAGGTTAATGTTATGGTTAATGGTGATTGACCACTTGGGGGGGATTTTTTAATTATATTGATGAGAAGTTGAATTATTTTTATTTATTTTTATTATTATTATTATGATTTTTTGGTCTGTGTTTGGTAAGAGTTGTGTGTGTGTGTGTGTGTGTGTGTGTGTGTGTGTGTGTGTGTGTGTGTGTGTGTGTGTGTGTGTGTGTCTACTGCTACAGTGGTTGGGTGGTCGTCTGTAAATGTACTATATTTTGAATTTGATTTGGTTAGGTTAGGTTAGGTTATGTATGGTTGAGTTACATTGATAGGTTAGGTTAGGTTGTCAGGTCAAGATACCACAAAAACAATAAATCAAGGCCACAAAAAATAAATAAACTTGGACCACAAAAACAATAAATCAAGGCCACAAAAACATTCCTCCTCAACTTTTTTTGTATTTTATGAAGAGGAAAGAAAACAGCTCTTGAAAGACACAATAATGGGCGAGGAAGTTCACCTTTAACCCGGGGGGGAGTGGGTCAGGGGGGGATGAGTGGGTCAGAGGGGGGGGATGTTGGGATGAGTGGGCCAGGATAAGGATATTGGCCTCTCATATACCTCATCTTGACTTCCTGGGTCGACACTCTCTTGAGGTCTTGGGTAAGATATTCCTACCTCTAACTGGCTAATTTAACCTAACCTAACCCAACCCAACCTAACCTTAATCTTAACCTAACCAAACCTAACCTAACCAAACCTAACCAAATCTAACCTAACCCAACCTAACCTTATCTTAACCTAACCAAACCTAACCTAACCAAACCTAACCTAACCTAACCTAACCAATCCTAATCTAACCAAACCAAACCTAACCAATCCTAATCTAACCTAACCTAACCTAAACTATCACAGTTAAGATAAAAAAACATACGGTGATAATAAGTCCATCTGAGAATACCCCAGAGAGAGAGAGAGAGAGAGAGAGAGGCAGCTTAAGTGTCCCACATAAGAGGCCTTCTCATCTTTCTCAGCCAAGAGGAAAATATTAACGTGGGTGGCAGGGTGGGTGGTGTTGGGTGGGTGGGTGAGTGGGTGGGTGTCAGGATGGGCGATTAGAGACATGCAGGATGAGCGGTGGGTGGCAGGATAAATGGTAAGAGTGGGCGGTGGGTGGCAGGATAGTTGGTAGAGTGGGTGGCAGAGTGGTCGGGTCAACACTTGTGCCTCTCATATCTAAACCTGGTTTTATTAATGTCTTCCTGTGTGTGTGTGTGTCCGTCCTTTATATAAACAAGCATTATTATTTCTAGTTCTTATTAAGTATTCATACCAGAGTTTATACTGTATGTTGATAGAGTTGTGACACTCGACCTTGGGTGATGGAAGACATGTAAAAGGATATATATAATACACTGTGCCTGTGAGGTGTGGTGCAGGAGCTCTTTATATTAACCTACTGTGCCATCCTGGTGGGACTACTACTACTACTGCTGCTACTACTACTACTACTACTACTACTACTACTTTTTTTTTTTTTTTTTTTTTTTTTTTTTTTGTAACGTGGCCTCCAGCCTCCCCCAATAGCCACACCTTCGCCACCATTTATTTACCTTAATATTAAATATCCTAATACATAAGAAGCTATCCTATCTGTGTTAAATTAGTTGAGCTGCAGATCCATGCGGCATTCCGTGACTGTAGCCACATAGTCAATATCTGCAGCAGTTGTCGGAGTAGGGGCAGAAGCTCTCGTTCCCCTGAGGCAGAGCAAAGCCGACCGAAGGAGAGAGAAGGACAGTCGACATCTCATCCAGGCTGTGACATAACTTCTGGGCTGCTGCTTCTGTTCGGAGATCAGCTCCGCGAGTCTGGCGTAGAAACATCTTGCACTTGGGCCCATCCCACCAGAGGTTGTGAACACTAGAGGAGTGAAGCTGCCTTGATCAACATTTTGAATTCTCTCCCCATATGCCCTTCTCTTGTCGTTCTCGTTCCTCCTATGCGCAGCATCGAGAGCTAGGTTACGGTGACAAACGGCCATGGGATCAAAAATCCTGATGTCGAAGAAAGCTCGCTGTCCCCGCGTCCAGAATCCTCGAGCACTGACGTCCACACGGGCTTCGTTAGATGTGTTTGAGGTCCTGTGTTGGAGGATCTCGCCATCCAGTGGAAGGAGGGTCGGTTCTACCATGACGTCCCGGCAGATTTCCTTCAACATATTTGCTGTGAGATCCCTTACCTCGTCATGCCTCATGCATATGAAGCCCCCCTTCTTGCAAACCATGGCGTGATCGCCATCATAGGAATAGCCACACACGCATTGGGAGGGCAAACCATCTACTGGCCAACCGTACCTTAGAGCAATGGCATCTGTAAATTCTTGTTTGTTAAGGCTGAAACCATTTGCCCTTATCGGTAACGTAGTTAACCAGTTCGAGGCGCCCACCTCCTGCGCTATAGCTACTTTTTTTGTCAAATTTTCTGGAACCTGCAGCAATAGTTGCTGCAACATGTCATTTTGGCAGTGCTGCCGATCTGTTGTAATGGACCTACGGATCTTATTAACTTCGCTGGTGTCCACTTCCCCTGTTGCATTCTGGGCTATTATGTGATCAGTGAGGGCTGCCGTGAGCTTAAGTGAATTTTGATGTTCAGAGTCAGCAATCTCCTCTGGATTAGTTAGTCCCATCCCTCCCAGTCTTGGTGGAAGTGCAAGAAGTGTTCTTTCTACTGGGGTTAAGTCGTGGTGTTTCACTAGTTTGGGAATGAGCTTGACACTGATTGCTTCTTCCAAAGGGTGGAGGCGGGGTCGGATCTCTGGGATGGTACGCATCAGGTAGTTCCAACGATGCTTGACTCCATGTGTGAATGCTGCAAAGGCCGCATGTGGCTCTGTGTTAGCAATCTCCGATAGAGCATGGATTTCGCTAACCCACTCATTCACCTTTCCCCCTACGTACTGGGTCTTGAAGTCCGTAGTGCCAATTACTGCGCCTAGATGTCTTTGGCCGTCCTTAGTTATTTTGACCTCACTTTCGCCGAAAACCTCCACAGCCCGATCATAATGATCTGGCTTCACGATGAGGAAGGATTTGCTGGCGTTTGGGTGGTACCCTATTTGTGGACCTCGCGATGTTACCAGGTCCCACCACTTTTTGATGTCCTCCACTTTTCCTGCTCCTGTGAGGTCATCAGCATATGCCACTTGTTTGACCCCAGTTGTTTCATACTTTATTTCTTGTTGGAGCACTGATAGGCCTATTGCATACATTGCCATTGCAACGGGGTCCCCCTGTGTTGTTCCCTCGGTCGACTGTAGGATGGTATCACCTCGTAGAGCCTTGTTGTTTACTATGTAGAGGTCTGAAGGATTCCTATACGAATTTTCAACATACATCGCAAAGCTAGGACACTTGATCTTGATGTTGTGCAGTGCCGCCTTGCGGTTAAGTATGTTGAATGCGTTTGAAGCATCCACCAGGAGAACGGCCTCACAATCACGCTGCTCAAATATCAATCTCATGGCGTGAATGGCCGCCTCCCCACCAGCCTGGTGGCCAGCACACACTTGTAGGTTCCCTGCTGCTGCCCTGACATCGTCCTTTACCACCTCCATTATACACTTTCCGATGATCCGCCTCAGCACTTCCCCCACCCCTATAGGTCTACATCCTGGTTTCTTTTCCAGAGGAATAAGGCGGCAGGCCGTCAGAGCCTGGAGGTGATGGCAGCAAGAGGATGCAAGCTTTCTTGCAAGGGTGGCAATGGCAGTGCAGAGATCGCTTGCTACAGGGCCAAACTTGTTTGTGCTGAGGATGACTCTCCAACCGTTTGCATCCAGACTTGAAGGGCCGGCTCCTCCTCGAGTCTTCAGTGCCTTTTTCCACACCATCTCTCCTGTTATTTTCTCGAACAGGACAGCATTTGGTGGGATATAGGCACCCTGGAGCCTGATGCCTTCATCTTCACTTGCAGGGGGATGTTTCTCTTTCAATAGTTTTAATGTCGCTCTGTTTATTGGCATCACTCCACCGGAGGATTCATGTGTGAGAGATCTTACCGCGAGAGACACTTTTCCCACACGCATTTTGTTTCCAAATTTTCTTGCCACGTCATCGGTGTTTTGCTTTCCGTCACCCGTAGATTTTAGTCTCTCCTGCAGTGTTCTTGCTTCACATAGGAGATCATCTAGGGCCCCAGTCTGCCACATTGTCAACCTTCTCTTCATTGCTGCCACATTTTCTTTGTGCTTAGCCTTTGTGTGTGTCCTCTGACAAAATAGATGTGGTATTATTGCCAGTATTTGAAGAGCTAGGGGGGCGAGGAAGCGGTCCTGAGTGTAATCAGTCATGAAGTGAGTCATCTCCCGAATCATTTCTTTGGTGGCCGCACACTTGGGTGGTTCAAATAAGTTAGCGGGCGACCACTTGACAATTTCTGAGTAGGTTTCTTTGACCCATACGCCTGCATTTTCCATCGACATGCCATTCCACTGAGGCGGCTGTCTCTCATTCTCCTCGTGGACACCTGCTACTGAGGGAGCAGCATTTATTAGTACTACATTATCGGGTTGAGTAGACTCACTGCTATCATTTCGGATATCATCGGGAAGTTGGGTCCCGGCGATATCCACTGTGGCCGCCTGTGTCGGCTCCCTGCGACGTGGGTTCCGACACTGGTCTAGCTTCCTGCAATCCACACATGGTCTGTTGTTTCTTGCACAAACACAATTTGTGCAGTTTTGGTTCGGGCTAGCACAGACGCAGCAAGGAATGTTACCAGGCATAGTGACCAGCACCTTGGGCGACGGTAACGTCCGCCTCCGGACATCTGATTTAGTCCCAGGCACAAGATTATACTGGTTCTTATGAGGGAAGGGCGGAGAGGTGACAGGCTGGACTGATGTGTCCAGGTAGTAGGGGCATACGTGCGCGCGTGGGTGTGTAGGCTACCCCCCCTAATAGCGACCATCCATACATCAGAATGATACACTATGGACAAGAGTTTGTCACACCAGGCACTAGTTTATATTTCCTTGGCACAAATAACCACTATTTATATGGTCTCGCTGGTGTAATATCAGTTATGTATACTCACTAGGTTCGTAGAGACCCTACATTAAGAGTCCGTTACTATGGTGGGGTGGGGGGGGGGTGGGGGCGACCGCATGGGCAGCACTCTCGGCCCCATAGGGGCGATAGTCTCGGGACCACCCCTGTCACAGTAGGCCTAACGACACTGACCTTGGCGCCGAGCCTTCTCATTATCCTACCACTGACCCAGCACAGGTCACCACTCACTTGGTGAACGCCGGTGAACACACGGAATATTTACAATTTATGCCGTAAGGGATGAGAAGAAACCTTGGGTGGCAATGCTTAGGGTGACATCCGATATTCACGGACACATTGTCAAATTCCCGCTCCCACACAACGAGTATGTCCCCACCAATAACACTTTAGATCAGGAGGGACGGTCCACGACACCCACGCCGCGCCGGCCTACTACTACTACTACTACTACTACTACTACTACTACTACTACTACTACTACTACTACTACTACTATTGATGATTATTATTATTATTTTTCTCAAAGGTTTAACTATCGTCATTAAAGGGTTAAAACATCGTCATTAAAGGGTTAAAACATCGTCATTAAAGGGTTAAAACATCGTCATTAAAGGGTTAAAACATCGTCATTAAAGGGTTAAAACATCGTCATTAAAGGGTTAAAACATCGTCATTAAAGGGTTAAAACATCGTCATTAAAGGGTTAAAACATCGTCATTAAAGGGTTAAAACATCGTCATTAAAGAGTAAAACATCATCCTCAAAGGGTTAACCACCAATCAGGTTTCAGTTTCTACACCATAACAACTAAACAGCCAGTAAACAAACACAAGAACTAGCTTAAAGTGTTGTACAATACCTTGACGCCCCCGGTGCCTACTCCTCCAGCCTCAAGGTCCACCTCGGACTGGGAGAACCTCTGTAGGGCCTTGTAGGTAGTTACCAACCGACGCTTGATGTAGTTCTGCCGCACCTGTAACAACACAATACAGCCTTGGTTAGCACTAAGGCGGCAACACTTATACAAAGATACATAAACACTCACAAGATACATATAAGATACATATAAGATACATATATAATGGTCTAAGTGTTAGTTTAGGTTAGGTTGGGTTTAGTTTAGGTTCGGTTGGGTTAGGTTACGATTTGGTTAGGTTAAGGTTAAAGTAGGTTAGGTTATGATTTAGTCAGGTTAGGTTAGGTTAGGTCAGGTCAGGTCAGGTCAGGTTAGGTTCGGTTCGGTTCCGTTTGGTTAGGTTAGATTAGGTTAGGTTAGATTAGGTCAGGTTAGGTTAGGTTAGGTCAGGTTCCGTTTGGTTAGGTTAGATTAGGTTAGGTTAGGTTCGGTTCCGTTTGGTTAGGTTAGGTTATTTTAGGTTAAGCTAGGTTAAGGTTATGATTTAGTCAGAGTTGGGTTAGGTTGGGTTAGGTTGGGTTACGATTTGGTTAGGTTAGATGGGTTAAGGTTAAACTAGGTTAGGTTATGATTTAGTCAGGTTAGGTTAGGTCAGGTCAGGTCAGGTTAGGTTCGGTTCTAGGTTCCGTTTGGTTAGAGTTGGAATTGGAGTTGGTTGATTAGGTCCAGGTTAGGTTGGTTAGGTCAGGTTAGGTTCGGTTCCGTTTGGTTAGGTTAGGTTAGGTTCGGTTCCGTTTGGTTAGGTTAGGTTAGGTTAGGTTAGGTTCGGTTAGGTTAGGTTCGGTTCGGTTCCGTTCCGTTTGGTTAGGTTAGATTGGGATTGGGTTAGGTTAGGTCAGGTCAGGTTAGGTTCGGTTCCGTTTGGTTAGGTTAGGTTAGGTTAGGTTAGGTTCGGTTCGGTTCCGTTCCGTTTGGTTAGGTTAGGTTAGGTTCCGTTTGGTTAGGTTAGGTTAGGTTAGGTTAGGTCAGGTCAGGTCAGGTTAGGTTAGGTTCGGTTCCGTTTGGTTAGGTTAGGTTGGTACTTGCTACATCTTGTACTTTAGGAGAGTTGTATGAAGGACACAGGTGGCGTCATCCCGTTCAAGGACCAATCACTTCACGTTACGCCCGCATACGCGCGGATCCTACCAAATCCTCGTTTACAATCTTTTTCAAGAAGATATAGTGATTGTGGTGGTGATGATGGTGATGCTCGTGGTGGTGGTGATAGTAGTGGTGGTGATGGTGGTGGTGGTGGTGATGATGATGATTGTGGTGGTGATGATGGTGATGGTGATGGTGGTGATGATGATGATTGTGGTGGTGGTGATGGTGATGGTGGTGATGATGATGATTGTGGTGGTGATGGTGGTGGTGATAGTGGTGGTGGTGATAGTAGTGGTGGTGATGGTGGTGGTGGTGGTGATGATGATGATTGTGGTGGTGATGATGGTGATGGTGATGGTGGTGATGATGATGATTGTGGTGGTGATGGTGGTGGTGATAGTGGTGGTGGTGATGAAGTAGTGGTGGTGGTGATGATGATGATTGTGGTGGTGATGGTGGTGATGATGATGATTGTGGTGGTGATGGTGGTGGTGATAGTGGTGGTGGTGATGGTAATTGGTGGTGATGGTGGTGCGGTGGTGGTGATGATGATGATTGTGGTGGTGATGATGGTGGTGATAGTGTGGTGGTGGTGATAGTAGTGGTGGTGATGGTGGTGTTAATTGGTGATGATGATGATTGTGGTGGTGATGGTGGTGGTGATAGTGGTGGTGGTGATGGTGGTGGTGATGGTGGTGATGATGATGATTGTGGTGGTGATGGTGGTGGTGGTCGTGATGATTGTGGTGGTGATGATGGAGGTGGTGAAGCTAACCTAACCAACAAACCAAACCAAACCATCCCCCCTCCCCCCCCTCACCAGGTAGCATTAGAGTGTTTCATCATCAGGTGAAATAAACCGGGGTGCCTAATCTTCACCTGATGCGATACCTTACAACGTTTAATTCAATTTACTATTATGATGTTAGTGACAGAGGTCCGGATCACAGCGGTGGGGGGGAGTGACGGGCAGCCTGGGTGAGTGGCCCGCCGCGTGAGTGCCTCTTTGGCATCTCAGTGGCCCCGCAAGATTGAAATTGGACAGGTACGCTAACCATGACCCCCCACCAATTAAGTTCTTCATACATTTATTCTAGGTCGAATATTTCATAGAGATTTACAAGAGGTTCATATTCATTAGTATATTGTCAAAATTATCATCAACTTCAAATAAATCAGGTAGTAGGTAGTAGACAGCTACCAAACAGGGAGGTACTACCGCCGGGGAAGATATTGGAAGCATAATGTGTTGTCTAATGGTAGACCCTGCTGCCATATGGCATCACGAAAATTGTGACCAAGTCCCAGGTTGCTGATCTGACTTTCTGCCTCATTTACACACAATTGCAGGGTCTCAATTGTTTCTCTTACTTTGACAACACAACATACATATATTGTTTCTCACTTTTGATTTATTTATGGTTCTTTATATTATTATTGTTTTATTTCTATTATAATTTGTATTTATTATTATTATTATTATTATTATTATTATTATTATTATTATTATTATTATTATTATTACATTTTCGCCCCCCAGGCCCCGATGTGGGTCAGTGACCTGTGTCTGGGTGGGCTAATTCCCATAAAAAAGCAACAAGTAGGGGTACTAATAATATAAAAACACAGAAAAGAAAACAAATACTACTATCTTATATGAAACAATATGACACAACAGACGAAGGATTTTGACAACCCTACCAAGACTACAGGCGTCGCAGTGTTCATTTTGGGATTCATCGACCCGCCCGTAGAGATACCTTTTTGGGGGGAGGTGAGGTGAGGTGGTGTACACCGCCCCTCACACTTCACGGAGGGGTGATGGGTGATGTATACTATATGAGTCATACATAAAATAAAACGTTTTTGGCCAAGTATTTAGTTATTGTTGTGTCCGAATTTTAACACCCTCCTCCCCAAAAATGCCTTACATATCACTGAAAAAAACAATAAATAAATGAATGAATAAATAAATAAATAAATAAATAAATAAATAAATATAATAAAAAATGAACACACGGAGGAAAAATAGGTCTCACACTTTACGTCGCTTCACTCAACATATATCCACCCATCCATCCATCCATCCATCCATCATCCATCCATCCATCCATCTATCCATCTATCCATCTATCTACCCATCTATCTAGGGGTGTGTGGAGGTAAACCAGTGCACAGGAACCTCTCCATCACACAGTCAGCTGTGAGACCCTGTGTTTACTGACAGGGGACCTGCACATGGCAAGGTTGTTCTGTTGCTCTGGCCTCCCCACATACATACATACAACATACAAACATACATACATACATACATACATACATACATACAGTCTCCAGGGTATTACAGTAATGTGATGGAAGTGAACACAGATGGCGAGTGAAGTCGCCAAAGTTTTTCACTGTTGAGTGTGTTGAGAGGCAGCTGGGGGGTGGTGAGGGGTGGAGGGTGTGGTGAGGGGTGAAGGTGTGGGTGAGGGGTGAAGGATGATGGTTGTGGTGGTGGTGATGGGTTAGGGGTGGTGGTGGTTGTGGTAATGGGTGAGGGGTATGGTAGTGGTGGTAATGTTGGAGAATGTGGTGGTGGTGGAGCAGTGTTGGAGAGTGTGGTGGGGGGACAGTGTTGGGAGTGTGGTGGTGGTGACAGTGTTGGAGTGTGTGGTGGTGACAGGGAGAGTGTGGTGGTGAAGTGTTGGAGAGTGTGTGGTGGTGGTGACAGTGTTGAGTGTGTGGTGGTGACAGTGTTGAGAGTGGTGGTGGTGACAGTGTTGGAGAGTGTGGTGGTACAGTGTTGGAGTGTGGTGGGTGACAGTGTTGGAGAGTGTGGTGGTGGTGACAGTGTTGGAGAGTGTGGTGGTGGTGTTGGAGTGTGGAGGTGGAAGGTGGTGTGACAGGTGCAGTGTTGGGAGAGTGTGGGTGGTGGTGACTGTTGGAGTGTGTGGTGGTGACAGCTTGGAGAGTGGCGGTGACAGTGTTGGAGAGTGTGGTGGGAGGCGGACATTGTGGTAGTGGGAGTGTGGGTGGTGGGTGACAGTGTTGGGTGTGTGTGGGCAGTGTTGGAGTGTTTGGTGGTGGTGATGTTGGAGTGTGTGGTGGTGACAGTGTGGAGAGTGTGGTGGTGACAGGACAGTGTGGTGACAGTGTTGGAGTGTGTGTTGGTGACAGTGTTGGAGTGTGTGTGTGGTGGTGACAGTGTTGGAGAGTGTGACGGTGTTGGGTGTGGTGGTGACAGTGTTGGAGTGTGTGGTGGTGACAGTGTTGGAGTGTGGTGGTGGTGACAGTGTTGGAGGTGTGGTGGTGACAGTGTTGAGAGTGGTGGTGGTGACAGGGAGGTGTGGTGGTGACAGTGTTGGAGAGTGTGGGTGGTGTTGAAGTGTGTGTGTGGTGGTGACAGTGTTGGAGAGTGTGGCGGTAACAGTGTTGGAGTGTGTGGTGGGTGACAGTGTTGAGAGTGTGGTGGTGGACAGTGTTGGAGAGTGTGGTGGTGGGTGGTGGTGGAGGTCCTACCTGGCTGTCATAACTAAACGCTTCATTTGGGGTCACATCAGCATGACACTTGAGGCATCACTGTCGTGTTGTATGACAGCACCCAGCCCCCTGTTCAATATTCTGCACTGTGATGTGGGTGGGGGAGGAGGAGGGGTGGGGAGGGTAGGATGGGTAGGTTGGTGGTTCGAACAGGTGACTGAACTGAAAGGCGACCTGACTCCACACCTGAGATTCCACGACAGGAGCAAGAGAAGGTCGTCCCCTCACTCCCTTCCTTCCCTTGTAACCCCCTCACCTCTCCAGCCCCACCTCCTGCCTCACCCATCACGGTCATGCTAAGTGGCGGAATTTTCATGTGACAGAAGTGGTTCAATAGTTCCATGCTGATGACAGGTGCTGCACTCTCTCTAAAAACTAACTAACTCTCCTGGTGTTACCAAACAGTGAGCAGTACATAAGTGTTGCATAACCCACTTACACACACA